TTTGATCCTGTTATGTCTGAACCTAAAAACAGTAGCTTCCAGTTACTTGTAGGATAAAAAGAAATTTTCACATTCTACAAGGCCCTCCATGAAGTGTGCCTATAACTTACCTCTTCAGATTTCTACTTAATAGCTTTTCTTCTGCCACAGAGCTCCCTTTCTGGTACCTAATGGGTGTCATACTCTTCCTGATGGAGCTTTCACATGTGCAGCTTCCTCCACTTGAACAGCAGCTGCCCATCAATCCCTATTGTATGTTTCATAGTGCCCTGTATCTGTCCACAAATGGAAGGGCTTGCTTCTTTAACAGAAACTACACATGCTTCATTCATCACCGTGGTCCCACATCCTAGCTCACAGTAGGAATTCAAATAGCTGATAAATGAATTCAGGAGCTTTTAGCATTGAGTAGCCTTATGGGAATCTGAAATGGTCTACAGCGAGAGACTTGGGATTGGTGAACTAAAGAAATTTTGTATCCACAATATGCAATTTCTCATGTAAAGGTGTAGAAATAAGTACATTGGCTGGGCACAGTCGCGGTGGCTCACACCTGTAATCCCAGCACTTTGATAGGCCAAGGTGAGTGGATCACCTGAGGTCAGGAGTTCGAGACCAGCCTGACAAATATAGTGAAACCCTGTCTCTACTAAAAATAGAAAAATTAGCCAGCCGTGGTGGCATGCGCCTGTAGAGGAGGTTGAAACAGGAGAATTGCTTGAACCTGGGAGGTGGAGGTTCCAGATCCGAGATCATGCCATTGCACTCCAGCCTGGGCAACAGAGCGAGAGTTGAACTTCAAATAAATTAATTTTGTCCTACTCAGCAGTCCTCTTTCAGGGGTAAAAGTGTAATATTGGGGTTTAGGGCTTCAGGGTGCCCTCAGCTCCCCTGAGAGGATGTTTCTCCAGGTTTTTGGTCTCCTGCCCTCTCAAGAATGAGAAAAAGGGGACCACGATGCAGTGTGCAGTAAATGCTGGACTTAAAAGTGTTTGTAGAAAGTGATTTATTTAGAGAGAAACCAGAGAAGGAGAGAGAAAGAAACAGCTAACTCTCACACTCAATGAGAGAATCCAGAAAGATGGAATCCAGGAGAAAAAAGCAGCTTCCACACTAAGTGGAAGGGAATAGAGAGAGAAATCGAGTTTAGGAGGAGAAGACAGGCTTCCACAAGAGTGTATGGAAGGGGACCCCAGAAGGGAAATCCAGGAGAAAACATAGCTTCCACGAAGGGAGTGTTTGTGGAAGGGGACCCAACATGGAGTCCGAAGGGCTGTAGAAGAAGGGGACTTTTAACCTGGGAGGAACCCCCACCTTCTCTAAGACCCCTGGCCAATGAAAGTATTTCCTCAGAACTTCCACTGCAGTGATTGACTTTGTTTCTTCCTGTGCCCTCGAAATTCAAACAAACCCGTTAAATCTCCCGGATGTAGAGAGATGGGAGGGGGGCATGGCACTAGGAAGTTCTTGCCCTTAAAACTATGCCTCCTTGTGGACCCGGAAGAACACATTCCCTGAAAAGGATTTTCTACAGGAAACGTCTATGCAATTCTGCAAGGCTTTTTCTCCTGTGAGCAGCTTATTTTACTATCTAAACTGCTGTCCAAGAGAGTAGCCACTAGCTACATGTAACTAATTATGATTAAACTCAGTTTCAGTGGCATAAGCCACATTTCAAGTACTCAATAGCCACACGTGACTAGTAGCCACAAATTGGACAGCACAGATATGGAACGCTTCCACCATTGCTAAAAGTGTTATTGTGCAGTGAGATGTGAAACTCTTTTGCAGAAAATCTAATTTGTTTTCTTGTTCTGCCAATGAGATAGAAACCAAAATATGCTTATTATTCATTTATTTTTTTGAGACAGAGTCTGGTTCTGTCACCCAGGCTGCAGTGCAGTGGCAAGATCTCGGCTCACTATAACCTCCGCCTCCTGGGTTCAAGCGATTCTCATGCTTCACCTTCCCGAGTAGCTGGGATTACAGGCACACACCACCGTGGCAGACTAAGTTTTTGTATTTTTAGTAGAGATGGGGTTTTGCCATGTTGTCCAGACTGGTGTTGAACTCCTGAATCAGTCTGCCTGCTTCAGCCTCCCAAAGTGTTAGGATTACAGGCGTGAGCCATGCATCTAACATGTTAAACTTCAATGTTAAATTGGTTGAAATATAGCACAGAACCACCAGAGATTTTGGTGAGGCCAGCAAAATCTGCAGAATTTTTCTTGGCTGTGCATAGTAACTTGCAGATCACAAGAAAATCCCAGCATCTCTGCCTTGTTTTCCCTTTTGGAAAACAGAGACAGTCTTACCTCCCTGGGGAATACTGAAGCTAACATAAGCCTTATGTACTTAACCACTGGTTGGAATAGTGTGCATGGACAGGTTAACTTCTGTATATTTGTCAGTCCACTTGCCTGAGAAATAAGGGAAAACTTTGCTTCACCTGTCAAAATTTTTTTTTTTTTTTTTTTT